AAAAAAAAAAAGCGACCTCTTTCCATTTGAATAGTTTGATTTTTAATAAAATGAAACACTTACTGGCATAAGCTCCACAGAGCAATAAGAGGATGATTCATTAAAAATCTGTGGTGTCATTTGGGGCAGAGTCCCAGTGCCCAAATACAGCCTTGGGAATAGGATGTGTTTTTCTAGGGCCGTAACCATCCCCAGAAGGGCCCATCCTGCCTCCTCCTTCGTTGGTTTCTCCAGACTCCCGGCAGGGGTGGTGACAAAGGGTACTTCCACAGGCGCAAGTTGTGCTGTTTCTGCCCCGAAACACGGGGCAAAGCAATGCTTTAGAGAAGCCCCGTCCTGATCTCTGGTTAAGCTCTCGCCTGGAGCTTTCTGAGGGGGTTGGCATGTGGGGCTGCCATCACTCATGCCAACACTTCTCAGCCAAGACCTATGGGGGCCAAACGTAATTCAGAATCAGATTTTTTTTAAGTCAATAAGTTTGTACTTTGTGTTACGTAACACGCCAGCATTGTCTGGAGCAGCGCTCCTGGCTCCAACACGTCAGTACATCTGCAGCAATGCGTGCAAGTCGGGAACAAAAACAGTCAACAGCCTCGTGTTAGTTCAGCTCAGCTGTGCGGCGGAGCGAGCTCCAGAAGGTCCCGGGTTCCAGAGCTTGCTGGACTTGGGGACCGAGGCTGAAGCCACACGGAGCTGGCCCTGACCTTGACTTGTACAGAGCCTGCCTGGAGAGGGGCGGGGATATTCCCTTCCCCAGCACCTCCAGGGAGCTCCCCGCCCGACTTCAGAGTCTTCAAAGTGCTTTTTCAGCACTCTCAGGAGGATATACACCAATGAGAGGTGACCTCTCTTACTTCTGACACTCAGCTGCACAAAGGCGCCTGCAAACTCTTGAACGCACGAATGCAGGTGCCCCCGCCTCACGTACCAAACCCAGGGGCTGTGGCAGGGAGAGCGAGATTCTCTTAGGATGATTAAAGAGAAGGCCTGCTTAGCAGAACTAAGACGTGGGTGTGTCCTCAAGACCTTACCGTGGCAAAGGCTCAGAGAGTCGTCTACACGGGGTTGGACAAACATGTAGCCAGCAGTGCCATGCTGTGACAGCCAGAAGGGGCCAGGAGACACGCGCTCCAAAAGGACCAACAACACAGAATGGACCACAGCTCCACACGGCAGGGTCCTTCACCCCACGGGCCAGGGGACAGGGCTGTGCTGAGCCTGGCTCTCCAGTCAGGCTTCAGGGTCCTGGCTAGCAAGTTGTCACCTGCTCCAGAATGGAAGGAGATGAGCCCTAGGTACAGAGGGAGGAACCCAGGGCTTTCCACTCCAGGAGGAGCTGCACTCTGGGAACGCCCAGGGGCGGTTCTCCCCTGTCCCCTGGGGTCATTAGGGGTCTGAATGGACTCAATGACAGTGAGTTTGTAGTTTTCATTTTTTTCAGTTTGCCAGTACAGAGCCCTCATCGTGCTGTTAGATATTGGCCTGTCCACTGCAAGGTTGGGGGTTTGAACCCCCCATCTGCATCGTGGGAGAAGGACGAGGCTCTCTGCTCCCATAAAGATAGACATTCCCCCTGAGGGTCTCTCTCTCTCTCTCTCTCTCTCTCTTTCTCTCTGAATTGGCATCTATTCCATGGCAGTGGCTGTGGTGTTTTGGTTCCCAGACCGTGTAGGATGCTCCCTTTCCAGGTGGGATGCTCTCAATTCCCATTCGGTACACCTCACCCACAGCCACCTGTCCCTGCTGGGATGCCAATCCGGTTGCAGCGAGCTCCCAGGCTAAGATGAATTCGGCAGAAAGGCCTGGTGATAGACTTCCAAGAATCAGCCAGTGAAAGCATTAAGGACCACAGCCTATCGTGGGGCAGCTCGTTGAGTTCTGTTTGGGTCTTCCATGAGGTGCCAGTTTGTCAGCAGCTAATAGCAGCATGTGCTGTGTCCCCTGCTGCCTACGCAGCTGCTAGACAGGAAAAGAAATACAGCTTTAAATCGGATTCTTGCTTCTGTAAATTACCAGGGAAGTAGTTGAAGAGGATTCCAGACTACAGGCTAGGTGGGGCCAGAGAGCAGCCAGAAGTCAGAAGGACTTGTGGAGGGAGGGTAGGGGGAAGAAAATTAGTAACTCCATCCTGACGGGGTGGTTGGGATAGGGGTCAGACAGGGCTTTTGCCTCACAGTCAGGGTATTTCCTGTATTGTCTAAAAAGGTCACGGTATAGGACATTTTTTACAGGTTAGCAGACTCCCCAAAAGTCTTCTGTTTGTACTGCCCAGCCTGGTATTTCAAAAAGGCCTCCAGGGGGGTCAGGGAGCTCTCAATTGATAGATTGCCCGGTAGAGGTCATCAGTAAACACCGGCCCCAGAGCCAGCCTCTCACTTCCCCAGAGTCACTAACCTCGGGTCACTGCAGGGTCACTGGCCAGACTATGCCCCGCCATGGTGGCATGATGTCAGATCGGGGACAATGGGGCGCCAAGAGCTCACCCAGACAATTTATGAACTTCACACACGGAGCTCACAGATGCTCCGGCCCCAGGCTGCACAGTCAGCCTTTGCCCGTTGCTCTTCTGGGTGTGGTTCTTGTGTTCTTGTTTAGAGGGTAGGGCTGATGGAATCCGCTCAATGGCAGTAGGTTTGGTTTCAGGGTCTTATTCCACCATATTTTTTATGGGCTTAGTTACTTGATGTGTGATTTACGTGTGCTGAATCTCACCCGGGGTTCCACCTCCCCAATGCAGCACAGTGGGATCAACATGAGCAGCCCCCCACCACATCAGGGACCGAGATCGGGTGGTCTGCAGCCTCTGGGCCACATCCAGCTCCCTGGCTGCTTTTGTTTTGTACATTTTTAAGGGATTGCCCCCCTAAAAAAATTTTTTTTAAGTTGTTTTGGGTTGAAAGAAAAAGCCTGGCAGATACCATATGTGGACTGCCAAACCTGAATTATTTATTAACCAGCCCTTTTTGGTAGAAGTCCGCAGATCCCCAGGAAAGAATAGTCCCATCAGCGCCCGAAGCCCTCGCTCCGGCGCCCTGGCAGTCACTGGCCTGCGGTCTGCTTTCTCCCTGCAGTTTTACCTGTTCTGGGCGTTCCTGTACGTGGACGCCCACAGCCTGGCACCTCTTTGTGTCCAGCCTTTCCCCTTTTGAGACTCTGTAGGTACATCCTGGGCCCTTAAATAAAAAGTTCTATCGACATAATTCGCACAATTCAGTGGTTTGGCTTTATGGAAAAGAGTTGGGCGACCGTCGCCGCGTCTCGTGCGCGTGCCCCTGCTCACGGCCGGCCGTGTCGTTGCAGGCATGAACAACCGGGAGGTGCTCGAGCAGGTGGAGCGCGGCTACAGGATGCCCTGCCCCCAGGACTGCCCCATCTCGCTACACGAGCTCATGATCCACTGCTGGAAAAAGGACCCCGAAGAGCGCCCCACTTTTGAGTACTTGCAGGGCTTCCTGGAAGACTACTTCACGGCGACAGAGCCCCAGTACCAGCCCGGAGAGAACCTGTAAGGCCGGAGCAGAGGCCGCCCCGCCCCTCCCCGTTAGCTTTCGGTTCGATTCCGTAGCCAGCTGCTCCCAGCGAGTGGCCCGAACCGTCCAGGATCAGATTGCATGTGACTGAAGCTGACGAGCTTCCACGGCCCTCATTAATGACACTTGTCCCCACATCCGAACCTCCTCTGTGAAGCATACGAGACAGAACCTTGTCGTTTCTCAGACTACGGAAAATGCATTGTATCGATGTTATGTAAAAGGCCAAACCCCTGTTCCGTGTAAATAGTTACTCCAGTGCCAACGACCCTAGTGCTTTCCTTTTTTTAAAATGCAAAATCCTATGTGATTTTAACTCTGTCTTCACCTGATTCAACTAAAAAAAAAAAAGTATTATTTTCCAAAAGTGGCCTCTTTGTCTAAAACAATAAAATTTTTTTTCATGTTTTAACAAAAATCAATCAGGACAGGTGTTTGGGTTTTGTTTTTGGTTTTGCATTTTTATACAAATGAATATATATAATATATACACCCCCACCCCACCTCCTGTACATAACACCCTGTGGGTGCTAACGTGGAGCCAGTGGCCTGTCTGGGCCACAAATCAGCTGGATCCTCCGAGTAAGGCGCTCACTGCAAAAAGCTGTTTTGGAAACCAGGGGTCTCATTTTTGACATTTGCCAAGCATGATTCTTACTCATATTATAATTTTTCATTTGGGATTGGATGTTTTTGACACATGACTGTCCGGAACAGATGGTTATTAGCACTGACTCCTTTCAGGACCCCCAAGCCGGAATCACAAATTCTGACTTCTATACTCTGCTTCGACTGATGTATTCTCAAAACATTAAAAAGTGAGCATATTTAAGCAAGCAAGCAGCAGGACTACCCTGGGACCTGGAAGATGGGTACCACACAAACTTCTTGTATAAATACACGAATGCTGAACTGTTTCCCACATTTTGGTTTTGGTTTTGGTTGTGTTGTTTTTTAATAAACATTGTAACCACTTTTAAAATGGTCTAAAACCCATCGCAATTGTAGTCAAGGCAATCTGCTAAACTTTCTCATGCAACTAAAATTTATGGGGATGGGGTGGGTGGGAGGGTTGTACACTTCCCATTGTAAAATACCTGTTTTAAATGCCCTGTACTGCTAATGAAATGACTTTCTCTCCGTGGAATAACTATGCACTACTTAACATTTCATGGGGATGCATCCAAAAAAAATATTCCATTTTCAGTTGCCGTTTGTACCAACCTTGAATGACCTATGTTTAACCACAGCTCAGAATTCCTATTTCTATTGAGTTTTTAATACTGAACAGCAACTCTGAAGTCTTAATTCCTTTTTTTGTTAAGATTTATTTGTGAGTTTACATTTTTAATTGTTTAACTTTCTTAACTTAGCAATTAAAAAGAGAGCATTTTACATATGAACATTTTTGGGGTTCATTTGTTTAAATCATGGACGGTTCGTACGCGGGGTTCTGTGGTCTGTTGCCCCTCGCCAGATGGCAAGGAGTCACCTGGCGAATGTAGCCAGGGTGCAAATGAATTTCTAAATGACACAAACATCCAGAACATATAGAGTGGTTGTTTTGGGGGGTGTTGTTGGTTTTTTTCCCTCCTTCTGTCTCACGAATTCACATTATTAAAACAAGACTAGGCACACCTTCTGATTTTATCAAAGAGTTCTCGACCTGGAATTTGCTGTGCCTCACTTGCAGAAGAAAGAGACCGTTTCATGAATAATCTCTCTTGTGCTGAGGTTGGTGTTTCTGTTTCTCAGCGTCTCTCCGAGGAGCCTGGTCATGCAGTGATTATGCATTGGGCTGCTAACAGCCAGACCATCAGTTCAAAGCCACCAGCTTCCCCTCGGAGGAAACTCAAGGCTACTGCTCTCATGAAGAATTAGTCTCTGAAACCCACAGGAGCAGCTCTACCTGCCCCAGGAGTTGCAATCGACTCCATGGCAGTGCGTGTTTGTTTGTGTGCCCCCAGAAAACTCTGGTGACAGAGTGGATTACATGTTGGACTGCTAACTTCAAGATCAGCAGTTTGAATCCACACGCTGCTGTTCTACAGGAGAAAGACAGCTTTCTGCTCCAGGAAAGAGCTGCAGCCTCGGAAACCCTCGGGGCCAGTTCGACCCTGTCCTGTAGGGTCACTATGAGTCAGAATTCATTTGATGGCAAGGAGTTTTGTTATGTTTTTCAGTGTGTTTTGAGTGTCCCTTCAATGAGCCCTGGTGGCTTGATGGTAAACTCGTGGCTGTTAAACCTACCAGCTGCTTCCAAGGAGAAAAGACATGGTGATCTTTTCTTTTAAAGAGTTACAGCCGAACTAACCCACCCGAGGGGAGGCTATTGTTTATATCTCCACAGGGAAAGAGGGACCAGACTTCAACCCAGACTTCAACCCAGTGCTCCAAGATGTGACTGCAACATGCCGGCGTGGAGTAGGCAACCAGTGGAGAGGTCTGGGGGGCCGGCCCCAATCCCAAATACTAAGTGGATGCCTGCCCTTCCCTCCAGAAGAATTTATTTCAAAGGACAGCATTGAATCTGCAGCTCTGGGAGAGGGACATGTCTGATCGGAGCACACGGGAGCAGATGAAGGGGGAGGAGGAGAGAGTGGAGCACAGCCTGGGCCACCAGGCCATGAGGACGATGTTCCCAATTAGAGCAGCCAGTACCACAGGGAGGACCACATGGCCGGCCCCACTATGAGACATGACACCCCTCACTGACCCATAGCCCTAGAGGGGACAACACCGGAGACACAGTGTGAGAATTGTACCCAATCTGATCCCACCACATCGAGGCAAAACACTAAGGGGTGCAACAGAACAGCAAGGGAATGGAGCGGCGAGGTCCCCAGGGAAT